ATCTCTCCGGTCGTTTGGCGAAATTGACGAAAAAATTCGCGGGACACTCCGCTTTATACGATGCGTTGTCCACATGGCGACACAGCCCGGTGTCTCTCTCTTTCTCGAGCTTTCTCGGGCTATCATCGTGCTGTCGACCGAGCTAAAGCTCCGTATCGATCCTCGTGGAGCACGCGCGAGTCCAAGCGAGTCGGCGACTCGCGGAAAATCTGCGTGAGATCCATCCGCTCTAACATTTTCTCATTCTCCCTCCCTCTCGCGGAAGCGGGATCAAAGACGTTAGGACTTTTCCTCGGCAAGGGGTGAGCGTGAGGGGGAGAGAGACAGAAACGGTGGAGAAGCTAGATTTATAAGACGACAGTCGCGATTTCTTTCGAGACACTCTCTGGCCGACATAGGAGAAACTTTCTCCGCGATTATCCGCCCCTCTGTTTCATCCCCGAGGATTTCGCCGGCTGTTAGCCCGATATCCGGAGCGATCCCCTTTAAAGTACGCTTTAAGGAGCGGCTTGGCAACGGGGTGTACGAGAGATGAATGTTAGAGCGAGATGTTTGAAGGCGCTCACGTTTCGAGCTGGCTATACAAAGAGATCTTAGCGCGTATTATTATTGTAAAAATTCCTCGAGCCACGAGCGACATTCGACGCGCGCATCGTACGTTCGTACGCGAAGCGTGCTCACGGCGAGGTGAGTGTCTGCCCATTGTGGATTGAGCAGCAAAAAGCGGCAACACGCATCCAGAACAGGCGCGTTCGCGGGATGCGCGTAAAAGATTAAACATCGAAGTGGAAAAATCGTTAAGCTAATACACGTTATGCGGCACGAATGTGTAATTAGATAGATTGACGGCTCTCCCTAACGCGATGAGCTCTCGTGCTTAATTCTTATCCACTATAAAGCTCTTTCAGTGTTTTTGCATGTGTGCTAACCGGATAAGTACGTCGTTTAAAAGTAATTGAATCGGAAATAAGTCGATTGTACGGGTGGATCGTGAGCGACGGTATCATCAGTATTCTCAATCCGGCAAAGAGCTATTGGGAGATACGGACGCAGTCTATCATGTAGAAAAATAGTAACGATGCTTTGAAAACAAGGTAAAAAAATATAATGTAAAAAATATAATATATAAAAATAACATATACAATTTTGTACACGACGGAGTGTCGTCGTACTGAAACTTCCTTTCGACGAACATGTGATATAAACAAGCAAGATGCGCATCTCATACATTTTGCAAGGCCCATTTCGCGGTCGATCGACACGATTGACTCGATGACGTCGGATTAAATTCAAAGGGATGCGGGATCATACATATAGATTATCATCGCCGGCGCCGGGGAGTCGAACTCGCGAAGTTATGCCAATCGACGTTCTCCAGGGAAGAAAAAGAAAGAAGGGAGGAAAAGGGGAGAACGATCTCCACGATAATATGTAAGACAGAATACGTCGAGAATTACGATCCGTGCTGTCGTTGGCACGCTACCACGCCTGCCGCATTGAGTAGGTATTTTTTCTCCAGAGCCATTTCTTTCCACGTGGAAATCTCTCCTGCTGCGTATTTCTATAATTCCGCGTGTTAATGTAATACAATAATGTAAAATCTGCAGCTATAGAAATAAACCGAGTGTTGATCGAATCTCTCGTCCAATCGATAAAATTACCGACTCGTTTCGAGTTGAAACAACAATTTCTGCATCAACGGTATAATTTTTTTTTCTTCAATTATTTCTTCCGAAATGAGGCGTGAAAAGCCCACATTGGATGATCTCGCAATTGCTATCACCAGACTCGTAATGTCAAAGTCGGGACGTGTAAAAAGGGTGAGAAAATGAAGAGAGGAAAATATTCCGCGGAAATAATCATCTCCGAGTGAGGTAATATCTGGCGAAATGACTTATCGCAATTATCAGCAGACAGTTCCCCAGATCCAATTAATCGTCGGATGGTCCGAGGGGTTATTGCCGCGCCGTGGCGGAAATTATTCGCAGCGAACGTCGTGTTGTTCCTCAGAGCTTTGAAATTCCCCGTGCTTTTCGCGCGCGAAACTTCCGCATTTAATTCACAACGTGAAAATTCACGAGCCCGCGCACCACTAGTGGTGACTTTACAACAAACCCCCTATATTAGTAGAAATCGATTATTTTTCTAGACCTCTTGCTCCGCCTATTATTAAATTTTACAAATAAAATTAATTAGTGTAAGATTTTTCATCTTTGTGGTTGAGTGTGCGCGCTTGAACTTTGTCGATTATGGAGGTTTTCCGGGCACTCGCTTTCAACAAACCATTTTTTTTCTAACGTGTATCGATTCACAAAGTACAAATTGTCATTTGTTTGCACAAGCTACCGGACTCTCGGCAGGAATTTTAATTAATGTAAATGTTTGCAGACACGCGATCTTTCCCGTTTTTCTTGTTTATTTATATTAATATTGATACAATTTTATTGTTCTTTGCATATCTTTGTTTTTTACTAAGGTCTTGAAAAAAATTTTTTAAACTTTTGCTTGAAGATCGTTTCAAACTTCAACCACATTTTTGCGCCCTTTTATCTGATTAGCACAAGTAATCCCGATAATTAACCTCCATGATGGAAAACTTGGAAACTTCCTGCTTTTATTCTCTTTTGTATAACAAAGTATTAGCTGCCCACCAATAATAAATAAATAAATTCTACAATATATTAGTAGGTAACATAGCGAAATTAATTCAATTCTAATGATATAATTCGTTTCTACTCTGATGATGTCTTAAATTTCCGTTTTCGCTGTTTTTAGCGTCAAATTAGGTTGTTTCGAATACTTGTGTGACCTTAATGATCGAAATATCGAGAGCTTTACGGTAACATTAAAATAAAATCTGTAGAATTATAGGTCCGGGAGAGAAGTTAAAAATATAATATTGTTAAAGTAAGTTTTTACTAATCTATAATATAAGCCATCTATATATATAAGTAGACGCAAACTAACATTGAGAGCGTCAAAGTAGCGTTAAAAAATGGAATTTGGACTCGGAAATTTTTCAATCAAATGCTATTATAGCATTATACAATCTTGCTATCGTAAAAGCAAACCGCTCAGGCCACCCTGCCGAATCACCGAATGAGAATCGCTGGCGCAAATGATACTCAGGATGTACCCCCGGGATACATCCCGGTAATTCCAAATTATCACGGTGGTAAATATAGCGAGAAACAAGGGGCGGGTAATGCGCATCCAATCTCCCCACTTAATCGTCCTGAAGAAACAACCTCGTCAGTTACTCCGCCGGAAATCCATTTGTGTAGACATCGTCTTTCGCGCGCGAGGGTGCTTACGGACGGATGGCTTACCGTACGAGGACACGTCGGTGGGCGGGATAACGACGCGCGGGCCTAATCTTTCCAGCATAAAAGTCGAACGAGCTTTTTGTCATCGGGCTCGTAACACGCGAAGAGGCTCGGAAGTCCTGCAAAGCCTCTCTCGGATTCCAAGTCTTCTCCGGAGGCCACCCTCGAAACGAGGGGCCGTAAACGACCCCGCTCGTGTAATCGTGTAATCACTCTTGAAATCGCCGCGTGGAGCGATGGGTCCTCGACGAACCGTCGCGAGGCGAATCTCTCAATTAGCGACGGAGACGAAGTAAACGTTGCGACGACTCGCGGCAGACACTTCACCTTCCGGAGGTAGAAAAAAAACAACGGGGGGAAACGAGAATGGGAGCGAACGACGCGAAAAATATAGCGGGACGCGGTCGTAACGCAGAGATGGCGGAAGAAACCGCGCGAGGTAAAGGCGAATTTATTACGGTGGGTTCGCGTTTACGTCGCGCGCGAAGGGCTCCCAGCAGTATTTCGTGTATCGAGGCGTTGTCATTTTTATTTTCGTCCCGCCGCCGGCGAGTGGAGCGCAATGAGAATCGATTTGCCGGGGACTGCTTCTTTCTATATCCCCCCTTCCCTCCCTGCCCCTCCTTCGTTCTATCTCTTTTTCTTTTTCTCAGTCCGCGACGAAGGGATCGCGGCGCGCGCCGACATCGTCGTCTTCCGCCGACGTCGTTATTTCCACCGTTATTTCGAAGCCGCGCACACTCGCCGCCGTTTCCTATTATTCTTCATTTAATCGCGCGCCGGGAGATACGGATTTTTCGCGCGTCGATTTTGCGGGCGCTTGCGAACGAGATTCCGGCGGTGATTGATATTGCGGGGATGTGTGTTATCACGATCGAGACTCCGCGATTTCCGATCTGTTCGCGCGCAACGGCGATAACGGCGGCGATGACGGCGGCGGCGGTGACGAAGGCGGTGAATCGAAGATTTCAATTTCGAGACGTTGATAGAACGAATCGCGCGCGCTTCGGTTATATATAAAAGTAATATGAGGACTGTTACATTGGAACAGCACTCGTGCAAATTAAAATTTTGATTGGAACCCACGTTATACACGCGGAATGAAATAAAATAATAATAACTCCCGATTAAATTAACAATACTATGAAATAATAACGATCTTTTTTGCGAAAACAGTCGCGGCGCGGTGTATTCTTCAAAAACACGGATTCCAATTGCGAGGGGAGGAGGCGGGAGGACAAATGTACGTTATATATATATATATATATATATAGGAAGCGAGATAATAATACTTTTTCTTCCTCTCGCGGCAATAAAGTGGCAATGCTAACGCGCGCGCGGTCGCGCTTCAGCGACGCTTTCACCGTTCTCGTAAGACTAACGATAATTCGTTCACCTCGCCGTTACGAAAATATTTGTGTTTAAATGAAGTGGCTTATACAATTAGGGTAACCAGGTTAGCCGGCGCAGCAAAGCAGAGTATATTTGTGCAACCAAGGGAATTTCTCGCATTTCGAAACAGTGGCGGGTATGGAAACAGCGTTTTCAGTAGAGGAGATGCGATTAAGCGCGCGAAGCACGACGGCATCTTGCCTCCCCCGTTCAAGCACGGCACGTTTTTGCTCGCCACGGAGGAAGCAAAAGAGGAAGAAGGATCTTCCTGGCGGTACTCACGTTTTTCTTCTGTCCTCTCAGCTGCTTCGAGGATTTCCACCACGTCAGAACGGCCGGTGGCTTCGAGCCGATGCTCTGACACTTCACATCGTACGTCTTCCCCGCTGATAGAATCTGATCCTTCCCCAAAATCTCTACCTTGAGCGGCTTCACTGTGAAGAAAAAGAAAGAAACGGAAAAGAAAAACAACAGTTAATTATCCGTCGAACATCAGTCAGTCGGCGTAGAATAATTCGCCCTCCGCGGTAACGGAGCTGTTTAAACGGCAAGCACGCGCGACTCACAGATCCGCAAAAGGCACCCTTGCATTTCTGGCCTCCTCCGTCGCGCTCTGACCTCTACTTTCGTTCTCTCTCTCTCTCTCTCTCCCTTTTCCTCGCAATACGACGACGACGACGACGATCTTTTTTTGTGACACGACGGCGGCGCATAACGAAGGACGCCGTTCGGTGAAAGCGACGGACGCGCAAAAAGGTGGAACGTGGGGAACGCGCAAAAGAAACGCCAGGGATAATTAGAATTCAGTCCGTTCGCGAATTTCATGCCGAGCTCCTTCTGTGTCCGGCATTCTCCGCAAAAGTTCCCGGCTAACGGGCAAGAAAGAAAGCGAAGATCGATGGCGACGATGGCGAGAGGAAGAGAGGAAGAGACGCAGGGCGGCGGACAGATCGAGAAAAAATGAAACGAGACGCCGGTAGGAAAGAAGGGAAGAAAAGAAGGAGGGAGCGTAGGAAGGAGAGAGGGAAGGAGGGAGGGACGAGCGAGCGAGCGAGAGGAGAGGCATCGGAGGGGTGAGAGAATGGACCGTATAATTGGAGCTCGCCGTGAAAGCGACTGAAAACAAAGGCAGGGCTGGGAAGATTGCCGGGCGCGAAACTCCCGGCGAAGTTGAGATTTCATTTGCAAATCAAAATTCATGCCGTCAGGTGCGCGGACGACGGAGCGACGTGAAGAATTCGACGAGGCTTTTAGCCTCCACCTAGACCTCCTCCTCTTTCCCCCCATCCCTCCGCCCGTCAACCCCTTCGTTCTCTGATAGACGAACGAAGAAGGTCCTCTCGTGCTCCTTTTGCTTCCTCCTACGCTCCACACTCTCGATCTTTAGGTTAACTGCGTTAACCCCCGTAACCCTTGCAGAAAGGAGGCTCTCTGTGTAACCGTGATGGAAAGTGTTCGCTCGAACGACGAAGTCGCGCTGTGTAATATTCAGCGACGCACCATTAGCGCAGTCCGCGCCCTATACGCGCGAATATCATTCTTCGCTCGTATTCTGTTAATTCGATTACTTAACGGATTCTCGGAAGTCGTCTTCGTGACCCGATATCGCGCGTATTTTTACTCCCCGTTACCTAGTGTGTGTGTCCTCCGGCCGTGCGTGACTACAAATCGCGCTGGTGGTTCCTGCTACAAATTGCGGGCGAAATGTGCCTTATTATCGCTGCGGGAGACGCAGGAGGACGCAGGACGCGACCCGGAATGGAACTTTACGTCTCTCGTTCGTTGATCTGTTCGAACGGGTTCGTCGACTCGTACGTTTGTGTTTTCCTTGCCCCCGCCTCCTCCGCTTCCGTGAATTCTCTAGCGATTCTCGCGAGGGCCCGTTCGCGAGGGCGAACTTATATTTCCTATCAAACCGCCCTTTCAGAAATGGAAGCGCAAACCCGAAGACTTTCGTCGCCTCCTTCTGAGGGCTGCTTTAACGAGCCGCTATTATTATTCGCGCGCATGGAGTGGCTTTAATCGAGTTACGAAGCGGTTCGATAAGGCGCGCGTCTCGCCTCTCTTCAGACGCGAGACGAGTTCGCAGCGCGCGTTTATCGTGCGACTTTTGAGAGGAGAGCAGCCGTGGCGCCGTTTTATCCGTGAGACGTCGTGAGAATAACGCCTAACTGCGGTGCTTAAGACTTAAGAGGTTCTCCCGAGGGTCTATGGAGATATTTTCGAGATCTAAAGTAGAAATTAGGGGGCGCATTTCTGATAAGGGGAAGCCGACGCTCGCGAAATATAAAGAGGGTATTGCGGCTCGGGAGAGATTCCTTTTTTTTTTTTTCCCACGGCCGTCTCCCTTGGCGGCCGATCGAACGTGATATAACGCTCGCAGATTAACGAGGAGGCGAACCGACGGCATTCCTCACACGCGTGCAACTTTGTCCCTCGGAGTAGATTTTTTCCCTTCAAAGATACTGATGAAGGTGATTATTAGTTTGAAAATTATTTCAAAGCTCGCCTGCCCTCGAAACTTTATATTCGGTTTGAAAAGGAAGTTAGCTAAACTTCTTCAAGACAGTTCAATCTTGCCCGGGCTTTCTCAGACTGAAGATCATTGGAGGGAATCGATTTATCCGTTGAAAACGAACTTTGAACCTGATTTCGACTAAGAAAGGATCGGAAGGGATGAGACAATTTTCAAACGGGGGAAGATTCACCGTTCGGAAGATCGCCGTCGAAAGCTTCAGGCCGCGACAAAGTAAGGGACTTTCGCCGCTCGGAATTCGCGATAGTCCCCGGACGGCTGAAAATAATTGCGAAGTTATATTCGTGTTTCCTAAAAACAACGTCGGTTTTAATGGCGCGTACGTACATACGCTCGCTCGCTCGCTTGCTGACGCGAGTAACGTAAGGAGGTGTGGAAGAGAAAGTCGAATGGCGAGAGCAGTATGGGCTTCGAGGTTTGCGCGGGGCTGGCCGTTAAGTGGCTCGTTCGTAGGTTAAAGTCGGTTGTTTCGGGAACGACCGAACATTAGGGGACTCGCGTTTAGATCCGTATGCGCCGATCCCGCGAATCGCCGGCTTAAGTGAAATTTTGCCGAGACCCGGTTGTACGCGATTCTAAGTGATATTATTGCCATAATTTGGCAAAGCCACTGCGAGCCCGTATCGTTACGGTCCCATCGGCGAGAGGCTGAGGCACAGGAGCGGGACACAAACGGGAAGAACGGCTGCTCGCGCGGTCTATTCTCGTTCCGGTTCGCGCGAGAAAGCCTGTAAACGAGGCGACGATGTATACCTCCCTCGCAGCCACCTCGGAAAATACAAGGAAATATACGGGGACGAGAACGCGCGCGGCGGAATAACACTTGCCAGGAGCCCCTGGGGTAAACTAATTAATTCCGAGCGGGCGAAGAATTCAGCCCGGGCGAAAACAAATCACCGTCGAAGTGTTAATCTCCTTATATACTCGCGAACGCGCGAAGATACGTCTGTATATTAAAGATGCCGCGCGCTCGAGATATTTACAGGGCGCGCGCCGAAAACGCATTGCCGTCGGATTCCCGCCGGAATCATCGCTCGTGGATTTCCCTTTCCGGCCGAGAGATTCGTTGTTTTCAGTTTTCTCCGGGAAATTCAGACGAGAAGGCGGAAGTCTCGCGTGTGAGGGACGTTTGCGAAAAGATTCGGCGCGCGCGCGCGCTGCATTAAGGGAGCAATTCGCGTCGTGATTCGCGTCGGACGGGAAGGGAGAATTATTAGCTCCCCGCGGCTTGAGTTATCAGGCACAAGGAGTTACATTCCTGAAGTTCACTCGTCTCCGGAGTGGGCTAAACCCTTCTTCCGTCGTTCTGAAACGAGAAAGAGAGGGGGAGAGAGAGAGAGAGAGAGCACTTTCGAGGGTCGTTACGCCGTTTGCGACTCCGCGGGTTCGCAAACGCCCTCGTTCCGTCGCTGAAATCTGCTCGCCCCGGCTTCGTTACGGAACTACTTTATATCGCGAGTTCACTGTCATCCGCTCGGATTGATAGCGCCCGTAAAATGAACCGGCTCGATACGGCTTGATCGGAGACGCCTCGTATATACTTCGTATTACGACGCACGTTTATCCACATTTCGTCCCTTATCTTTAGCTGCGTTTTTCTCCTGTTTATTTTCTCGTACTAAAATCCGTTTTCATACCGCCGTGCTGTAATTCGGCGCTCTTGATTTCAGACACCGAAGTACACTGAGCGTATGTCTCGCGTAAAATCGAAGAGAAATTGAGTCGGAGAAAGACACGTTCCTTGATAAATAAAAAATCGCAACCACACAGAGAAAAACATTTCTTTGGATTTAACATATGTATTTGTTTGACCTTTTTTTAATATAAACAACATAATTCAATATTAAATATTATTTTGTTTGAATAAAAATATTGTTACTTCATCAGAATAAACAAAGTTGTTTGACAGAAAAAAAAAAACAGTATTATTTAGAGGAAATAATATTTGGTTTTCAATAAACGAAACATGTATTTTATTATATATTAAATATTATTCTACTGAAACGAAGAGAAAAGTTCTGTAATATTTTTCTAATTTAGTTATTTCTTTTAAATCATTTATTACTTGTAACAACTCATAATACGTAATCAAATCGTAATACGTAATCGCACGTTGGAGTTGAAGTTTCATGAAAGATAAAGCCATGTATCTCTTGATTTATCGAAGAACGTGTGTGATCGTGGAGGTTCCCGTATATCCGATACATTGTTCGCCCGATCCATATAAATCTTTTCATCAGCGTCGCGCAGGAACTTTATGGTTTACAATTATCATCAGCATCGCCTCCACTCCGAAAAGGGAAAAGCGACGGAACACACGATCGGTAGGATCGCTTTAATGAGAAACTTCTTTTGATGTCTGATACTCTAACGGGTCGCTACTACTGACGGGCATGTAATCGTCTGACTATCGAGGACGCATCTACAACTTTCGTTAATGCTTGTAACTATAAAAGACTAATGAGCCTCTCGCGCGTACAAAGTTTGCGCGCGGAGGCGGCTTCATTAATTTTCTTACTAATTAACGAGGGACGCCAATCGGGAGAAGCGCAACGAGGAGATTTTTGCCGAATGGAATTTCTATGTCGACGCGATGGAACGCGCGCCGGGGGAGAAAGCCGGGGTGCTCTCTTTGGCTTGTTACCTAACTTGATTATTCTTGTCGGTGTCTCCCGCCCAGCTACGTTTTGCGCGGAATCAAACGCCTCTGTAGAATGAGTCGTTAAAAGTTGAATAAGTTCGCGAGACGATCGCCCCTTTGTTCTCCGGTCGCGCGCTGCGCCGATTTGCAACTTCATTGGGAAAGGAAGACAAAGAGAAAGAGAGAGAGGGGGGAGGGGAGGAAGTCGCCAATCTCAAACGGCGACAAACGAAATATCGACGACGATAAACAAAAGT